GCTGCTCCTATATGTTCTAGTCGTGGAAGCTTGCATGTTGCAGAATCGAACTTCCCCCTGCGTGCCTGATGCAGGCAGTGGAGGTGCCTCGCATGTGGGATTGCCCTGCATGGTGCCCCTTTGGCTTTCTCGGGGAAGTTTGCGGGCTCCGCTTTCCTCAAGTCTCCGCCCAGACCCCCGGCTTAGTAGTATAAGGCCCCAAATTAGGGGATCTACATTCTAGATCCTTCCGGGGGTCTGGGCAGGCTGCAAGCAGGCGTTGCCATGCCTTGCTGCTCACTTCGGCCATCGCTTCTTGAAGCGTCCTGGAATGGAACGGAAATGCTCAAACCCAGCAAGTGACGCCGAAAGCCTGATGATGCCCCTGGCCTCTTAAAACCCCGAAATTATCGCCTCTTGGAATGTCGGATCAAACAATGCGACTGCCCGCCTGGCATTGTCTGAGGCTCTGTGCGCAATTTGCAGCAACTCCGCCTTCATCTGGTCCTTTGTTTCGAAAGTTTCGACTGTAAGGTCTACATGAGCACAATGCCCTTCGTCCCCGTGGCTTTGGCACTCTTCTGTCCCAGAAGCCCATGTGTTAGCTTGTGACAACTCTGCAATCTGAATACCGTTCTGCCGGATTACTGCATTCAAAGCCTTACAAGCCATGCTTTCAGACTGCCGCCTGGTCCTGCCCCATTGCGGTGGTAGAGCCTGAAAGAAGCCAACATCCACACCAACCGAGGACACAAGCAAACTGCAGCGAAATGAAGCACCGGATATGGCTAAACGAGGAGCAAGTGAATGCAGGATTTTGGACCAACAGTAGTGCGGACTTGGGTTTGGGGATTGGGCCCTTCTCATCTCGTAGTGGACAACCTGGCCTGCTGCAAAAGGTCGAAAGTCCGCCTGCTGCAGCAACGGACGAGCAAGCAGATCAATGTTCGAGTTCTTTACCGCCTTGCAAGAAAGACTGTCGTGTGAAATACAAATCGAGGACATTTTGCTATGGGATCCTCATCATAAGGACGCTTGGTTTGAGACCTGAAAAATTCGGGAAACCCTTCTTCGGGGCGATCTGAACATGCGTGCTCCATCGCCTCGGCGATCAGCTGCTCGATCTCGTGGCGCCTGATGATTAAGTCTGTACGTTGTGCTTTTCTCCTCTCCACACAAGCCCAGAGAGCCCAATACCCCTTAATTAAGGAATATAGCTTAAACCATAATATGAAGCCCCTTATGGTTTAAGGTATATTCCTTAATTACGGGGTATTGGGCTCTCCGGGAGCTTATTAGCTGGTTCACAAGCCTGCACCGCAAGCCCGACCTTCAAGTGCCGGCTCTCCAGTCTTGATGCGCTGAAACGTTGTCATTGCACTTTGGCCGCCTAGTTAGAGGATCATGGGACTTAGTAAGTAGGTTATAATTGGGGTAATAAGTCCCCTAAGTGGGGTTATCCTAATTATAACCTACTTATAACCTTACTTACTAAGTCCCATGAGCCTTCAAGTAGTTGTTTGAGCTTGGTGCTACATGTTGATGCATGCAAATCCGACAAGACAGGCACTCTGAACCTGCGAAAAAGCGTTCCTGTCTCACAAAACCTCAAACCGCAAACGCTGACAGCCCTAGCCTCAAGTTCGAAGTCACAAACTGAAGCCAAAACGAAACCCTACTCTATAGATCAAGGCCCCAAAACCTCAGACCAACCAAAATCCTTGGAGGAATCCTCTGGAGGTTCGTTCTTTCTCACCGACACTATACCACCCCTAGAACCATAATAAACATACTATTTCTAATATTCTCTTGGGTTTTTAAATTAACAAAATGTAAAAAATAATTCCTAAGGAGAACTATAAAATGTCTTCCCGACGGCCAGAGCTCAGATCCGAGCTCAACGGCCATGGCCCGAGTCTCGTCTGTGATCTGCCGGGCCTCCACCTGCCGAAGCATCTCTCAAAGGGGAAAAGGAGGGACCCTAAAAGGGGGGGACCCCTACCCTATAATGGGCTATATAAGGGTATATAATGGCTATATTAAGGGTACATCTCTTCCTACCTTTGGTTAGTAGGGAATGGAAGAATGGTAGTAATAGTAGTTGGGGGTTAGGTTAAGGGTCTGAAAATCACGTATTCTCATCCAACTTGTTCTCCTCAACCTTAAAATGCTTAATATCGCTGTTTCCTTTGATTAGCAATGCCAATCGTCGATTTCTGGTGGGTAGTATGATCCCCAAAAGTGTAAAGTGTATCCGCTCAGCTGCTAAGTGTATTGTAACCGTATTGTAACTATCGTCTTCTCCGCCAACCAAGACTTTCCAGCAACAAGAAGGGTCTGCAAGCTTCATGCCCTTGAACCAGCATCCTAACTCCTGTTGCCCTGAAGGCTCTCGCGTCCCGGAAGCCCCCAAGCCTCGACAACGGCACCCTCCAGAAACGCTCAAACCGTGAACTGTGTCAGCGATCTTGTGCATGTGATGACCAGATGGCAGCAACGATGATGATGATGACAACATGATGCTATCATTTTCATTGCTGTTGCCACCTACTTCCACTTATGGCGTTTCCCGGTCTAGAGGCGAAGTGTAGCTTGGAATATCGATGAATCTAGGAATAACAGCATTCTTTATCATCAGTCTGTCTGTTCATTGAAGCCGCTTAAAACATGTACTTGCAGTTTATGCCAACAGCGAGAGTGACATTGGTAGCACTCGCATTCATTCGTTTCGTGGAAAACCCCACTCTTCAGCATCGAAGCGGACGTTTCGTGGCTTTTCGTTAAACATAGGTCGTCTTTCATAGCATACTGACAGTTTTCTAGGGACCAGAGGGTTTTTTTTTTACTACGAGTTGTTCCGCTTCCTGTGTCGGAACCCCAGACCCTAAAGGCCCTGAAGGCCCTAAAGGCCCTAACCCTGAACATCCTGGGAGTTCGGAAAAAGAGCGGACCCTAGGAAAGCACCCTAAATAGTAGGATCCTTCTTATAAGGAGTGGAGCCCAATATAAGGTACCCCCCCCAAACCCTAAGCCCTCATAGATTCCCTATGGAACCCTAGGACCCCCACATAAGGTACACCCTGGAATAAAAAGGGGGGAAAAAAGCATCCAGCCTTGGCGGCGGCGAGCTGGGCCTGCAGGTCCCTGGTGCCTTAAAAGCAGGCCGAGGGCTATTGGGTTGTAGGGTTTAGGGTTTAGGGTTGTAGGGTTTAGGGTTGTAGGGTTGTAGGGTTTAGGGTTGTAGGATGTGAGATATAGGGCGTATAGGGTATGGGGTTGGCTATAGGGTTGTAGGGTTTAGGGTTCCTAGCAAAGCATCTCGCATTACGGTTTGGGGTATAGGGTTTACGGTTCCTCAACAGCAACGTCTCCGAGTAGTATATGAGGTAGAGGCTGTTTAGGGTATACCTGTAGCCCAAAGACCTACTTTTTTAGGGAACTCTTAATGGAAACCATAATAAGGAACCCCCAAAACGTAGGTCCTTTCGGCTGCAGGTAGGTTCTCCTGAAAAACATCTTCCAGCATCCAGCGGCTCAGCGGTTCGAAGGCTTGCTGCTTTGACATGGTTCCAAGCTTGAGGCTTAGTTTTCGCGAAATCAAGCGGTGTATCAAGAGACTTTCAGGGAAGGCTGTTGCTAATTCTTCCGAGCCCTCCATCATGCAGGACTGGCGGGGGAAGGTTGACAACACTTTTGGTCACCTTTTGGGGGTTTTCAGGATTTCTTCTGCCACCCGATGGCTCTGGGGTGCAAGTTCACGCAGCTTAGATCTCCTAGAGCCTGAACCCTGCATCCCTGAACCCACCATGTGAACCCTGAAGGCACTGAAGGCACTGTGGTTCAAGGTTCCCGCCGCTGAACCTCAACTCCTTGGAGTTTTTCCCGGCAACTCGTGCGCCAGTGAGAGTGCGTCGAGTCTTAGGGTTTAGCGTGTAGTAGAGTTCACTGCAAGCCGAGTCAGCTGGATTCTCTGCAATAGCTAGAGATCCGAATCGCTCACCGTGGCTTCGAGCTCTTCAACTTGAAACCAACAGCCCCACAGTGCGCCGCTTTGTCGCTGGCGGGCCCGCATTTGCAGGGCATTGTTAAAATTGAATCTCACGCCCTCCTCCCTGCAGCAGTTCTGAACCCGATCCATGCCAGCCAGTTATGCATGCTTTTGAAAGTTTTACTTCCGGATACTCAGGTCTCGTGAGAACTGCTTTGGGAGCTCGCTGCTTTGTTGGAAGCATGCAAGTGACCTGCAGTCAACTGGAACGAAAACGGATTGCAATGCCGGGGCTCTGTTTCCAGTGCACTATCAGGGCTACGCGGTCTTTCACACTTTCGTCTTTGTCGCTGGAAACAGAACCCGGCTAAGAAATTAGAGACGACTAAGACTTCCGTACCATCAGCACCAGAGCGAAGTCGCAACGCATCTTTGTGTTCAAAGCTCCAGCGCACAGAAAAGCAGCTTTCCTCCACGCAGGCTCCCGTCTGTTTAGGCAGGATACGAGGTCGGCCTGAATAATTTTAGAATAGGGCTTTGAGGCCCATTCTAGCATGCTTAGAATAAGGAACCCCGAGAAGAGTGTAGGTAATTATTTAGGGGGCTTCGATGCTACGCGCTCTATGTTCGGATCTGCACAGACTGGTCCTCGAACACCTTGGCCCAGGGTCGGAGACTCCAATTCGGTCCTCGATGGGCCATTTCCACCGTTGATCCTCGGGCATCAAGTGATATCCGGACTCGGATAACCGTACATGCTGCCAACTGCGAAAAAATCTGCTGTGTGCCGCAAGAGCACAGATCTGAAGGCCGGAAGTCATTGGAACGTTGCAGGGCCGACACTTCCTGTACAGGAGAGCGACATGGCAAACATGTCGCACGACTTGGCACACCACTTGTACTTGAAGGCTCATGGGACTTAGTAAGTAAGGTTATAAGTAGGTTATAATTAGGATAACCCCACTTAGGGGACTTATAACCCCAATTATAACCTACTAAGTCCCATGATCCTCTAAGTAGTGTCTGGAAAGTCCTGGTCTCGGACAGTGGAGCTCGTCTGGATTTCAGCGGTGACGTCCGCGATGTACAATCGCGCGTTCTGAAAGGAAGCGAACTGAGCCTGCAGAAGCGGACAGTTCATGGTTTGAGCGTGCCCCTACGCAGGTTTCGATGAACGCCACATTTACATCACTGAAAGAAAGCAAGGGTGAACAAGTGCCTTGCTTTCGCACATCGGGGTGGGGAGCGAGCACAAAACAGCTGGAAACACCTACGTAGACCTTGAAACCCTACAGCCACGAGACCTCTGCATCCACCATCTGCATCATCCAGCGAAGGTCCGGACACTCGGCTGGCCCAATAAGGTACCTCGGCAATTCATCCTGAAAAGACATGAGCTCCTGTAATGGGTAGAGGCTGGCTGGGTTAGCATGTTAGATTTGGGGTGCAAGTGACACCGGGTAGACAGACTTCCTGTTTTTGAGAAGGTAACTCTTCCTCGCTGCGTGATTACTCGATGCCAAGATTCAGCTGCCCGCCAATCACTGCATACACTTCGGCCTCGACAAGCGTCTTTTTCGTGCACGGAGAGTCGACATCAACATGACTTCCCGAGCACAGGTACATGGGACTCTGGGATCGCGTGGTAGCAGTTCGGTCGCAACCGTCGTTTGCAGGGCTCGCGACAGTGGAAAGTGGAAACATCAAGCGACTGCACATGAAACACCGGAGACACAATGATCTTTTCATTTTTTGAGCAGTGGGTCACTTTTGTGACTTAGTTGAGCTGCAAGCTGGTCCAGGGATGGACATCGGCTTCGCAGGCCTCTCGCATGTAGCCGCCGCTGTCCCAGTCATGTAGCGTGCTTCTTTGCGAGTCAGGCAGCTGCTCCTGCTGCACTAGCATCTAGCATCGCCAGCCGTTGGCATTCCCGCTTTAGAGATTAGCTCCGACATGCAAGGACCTACATGAAGCATCCAAAAGCATATGATTCTCCAACTTCACAGGAAAAGGAGTCCTGACCGTTGAGGGCCGTGGGTGCCTGCTCCCATGCCGTGCTCACCTCGGCTCCCGTGTGGTGGCTGACCCCTGCTTCAAGTCGTCCCTCATCCCGCCTGTGAAAGGGCGTCTGCTGGTCCAACCATCGTTCAACAGCAAACACGTGGCTTTAGTTGAGGCCGCGCCTTTCGAATGTGTGTGTGTGTGGGGGGGTGGGAGGGCGGGGATGTTTGAAGTCAAGAAGCCACAGAACATAAGTAATGCTAGCATCCAGAAACGTCTTGAGCTCGTCTTCTTGCAGCTCAAGGAACTTGTGTCTCCAGCGAGGAAGCAGCTCTATCCTTGGCTCCGGAGAGGGAAATAGGGCTCAGGGTTTGCATTCCGAATTTTTTGCATATGTTACGGAGCCTGCCAGCAACTTGAGAGCAAACAGGTGCACACGTCTCAAAATCTTAAGCTTCGGAACTTTTCAAAGACAAAGCTGTAAGACGGTCGATAAATAAGCCTGTTCGGCCCTTGACAAAGGCTGCCAGGCATCCACTCCGTCGATGACCGCTTCTAGCTCCGAGCCCTTGATCTTGAGAAGATCCTGGCAGCAAAACTTGAAATCCCAGAGGCAGAGGGGCCATAAAGAGCATTATGGGCCTGGGTTTGGGGTAGAAAATACTACACAACAGCTTTCATAATAAACCCTTTGCCCGCGAGCCTTATCAACTCCGTAAGCTTGGGATTGAAGGCATAGGTGTTTTGGTGTTCAAAGCTTCCGATGAGACGACTAGGGTCTGCATGTCAGGTCCGGCTCGGAGATTTTAAGGGCCGAAGCCCGCGTCATCGAAAGCTCCTACGCAAACCAAGCCAACGGCTTCTTTCGAGATCCCTGACCCGAGAATCTCTCATTCGTCAACGTCCTCCTCCCAGCTTGTTGTTAAGAGAGATGGGTGGGGATTTGTGGCACAAGCCCTACTTTAGATTCCTTAGGCCCGCAGCCTCCGTCAAAGCTCCTGTGGATCTCCCATGGTCTCTTACTGGGTTCTTGTTGGGAGATTTAATTTGAGTAATTTGAGTTACCAGAGTAAGGAAACCATATTTTTTGACCTGTAGATCCCTACCATGGAAACTTAAATTAAGTCAAATCCTTTAACAAGAACCGATCTTATGAGTTCTCCGTCTGATTTCCGATACCCGGCCGCCTTGGCAGCCGAGGTGGCATTGGGCTGTAGCTCCATGGTGAGGCGCGTGGCCTGCGGTGTTGATGCCAAGACGGCTTGCATGCGGGCTTTCCTTGTGAAAGAATTGCGGGCTTAGGCTGCATCCTTTTTGAAAGAAACTTCGATAGAGGGTGCGCCAGGCCAGTATATCAAGTAACGTGGCTGGTGGTCGCCGGTGTTCGTCTACGGCTTATGGACAGAAAGAAGACTGCAAAGTTGCAGACTGCTGATAATCATCATTTCGGCTGGGAAGAAGTAGAAGGAAGGAGGATCAACTTCGCAAATCTCATCCTCAGCCAAACCCTATCCCCCAAACCCTCAACCCAAACCTCTAAACCCCAAATCCCTTAATCCTAAACCCTAAGCCCGAAACCCCTAACCCCAGAATCCTCAATCTCCCAAACTGACGGCCTGCCCTCCTTTCCGCAGCGGTGCCCTCGGGTCTCCTCGGTTGGGTCCCGTGGAGCCCCAAGTAGGGCTCTGTTTAGAAAATGGTGCCTTCAGCCTAGGCTTTATTTCGGGTTCAGCGGATTTTCCGGGTTGGAAGGGGTTTAAGGTTTGGGCTTGTGCAGTTCAGGGTCATGCATGCGTTATTGTCTAGGCCTTTAGCTTATGAGGATTGCGTAGCTGCAACAAGGGGGAAATTCAAGCAGCAAGAGCGGTCATGGGTGAGAAGCCAAGCAACCAGTCCTGTAACCAGTTCGAAGAGGATGCAAGTACGTACGGCAATCGGAGCTCTAGAATTGGTTCCAAACCCAGCAACAAACGTGGATCACATTCGAAACAAAGTCCGGTAATGGTGGCGCGAAATCCATAGAGCCCAACGAAAACTTAAAACACAGCGTGTGTGTGTAGTAGATAGCTACCCGTAATCAGCCGTCAGGCAATATTTCAAATCCAGCTGCTCAGAAGGCTCAAAGCTCAGTGTTTATCTAAAGCACGCTTCAACAGGTCGACACCGAATCCGAGGAGGAAGACCCAACACCCCAAACGAGGGTTGGGTCTGAGTTCCGGGCTTTCACATGAAAGTGTGCCGGCATCTGGGGTTTAAGGAGTTGGGCTTTGGGTGCTTTGGTCGCAGGGTTTGCAAAATCCACCCAGACTTCAGCCAATCGACCAGCTACGCCGCCAACTAGGCGGAGCTCGCGGACGCCGAGCCGAGCGCGAGTCCGCGAGAAGCTGTCCAAGCAAAGAAAATGCTGACGAGGAAGCCGATGGTTCGGGGTACAGGAGAGTCTTGTGAAGGGCTTCCCCATCAAGGGCTTTCTCAAAGTAAACTCTCTGTGGGCTTAGAATGTGCAAGCTCAACGGGATCCTTTGCGCATTGGTACCCAAGCGAGGCCCGAATCGGGGTGAACTTCCACACGAAAGCATGTGCACCTTGTTGTAACGCTCAGCGCTGCAACCGCAAACAACAAGGACCACATGGCACTTCACGTTTGACAAGAATTATCAAGAAGCAAGATTGACCGACCTGCCTCATGCCACAGAGCAAGCTCAACCGCCGGCAAGCCTGGGCAAAGAACATGTGGACCCCTTCCTTGAAGTTCGAATGCAAGCAATCTACACCCTTTTCCAAGAGATCGACTGCCTCTCAAGAAAATACCGATGATTTAGGATGCAACATCCTCAGAAGTGTGGACAGGTCCCGAGCACATCTCCGAGAGAAGAACAGGATTCCGGGTTCAGACTCTTATGACGTAGGCTTCGGGCAATCTTCTCCGTGGAGGACACTTGCTTGTCGCATTTTACAACACCCAAACGACTCAAACATGCTATACCGAGTCATTGAATGTTAGAAAGAGGAATGCCCTGATTCTAGCATTCAGGCGGTGTTGTCGGGTCTAACTGAATTCCAAACGATCGCGCGGCTCTTCGAAACTGCGGCGCGTCTGCAATCGGCAGCACCGCGACGCAGCGGATGGTTACCTCCAGTCATGAGCTTCTGGATTTCGGGGTTTTGGGCTTATGCCACGCGACTCATTACATCGCACTTGGAAGTTCATGGGTAGATATAAGTAGGGTTATAAGTAGGGTAACTATACTTTTATAACCCATCGGGGACTTATAACCCCCCCGATAACCACCCAGGAACCTCCAAGTAGAGTTTATTGCCCAGACTAGCGGCATCCACGGGCAGGTCTTCGAGTCCCTTGGAAGCCACCATCGCTCCGGATGCCCGGCAAACCCTGTGGCCGTTGTGTACTAATGACAGATGGGCGACTACGCAGAGATTCATAGAATTATTCGCAGGAGTTCGTGCAACGAATCTTGCAGTTGTATCGCAGAAGACATCTAGACATGACGACCATCCGATCCCATGCATTGCAGACGGCCGCTTGCTTGCGCACATTGGAGTTTCGTCTGCTTGAACAAGATCCTGATGGCTACCTTACTGAAGTTGGGAAACAGACAAAGCCAATAACATCAATTTGCTAATGGGCAGTTTTTGCCAATCGCAATCTCCATCTGGCTTATTCCGCGCTATCTTGTGGCGACTGAGCCAGCCGCGCCATCATGGCATTTGATGCCAACATGTCAGAGGGGCAATCATGGCCCCACCTTGAAAACCCTGGCCCCGGCCGCTAAACTCAGCGTCTACAAACAACTCGAATTCCAGCTTGATGTGCAATCGAAGTCCCCAACGCCTTGCAGCACCTGTTCGACAAATTCTGAAACTCTCGGTCTCACCACTTGGACCCTGACGCTCCGACGTTGCCCGCCTGGAGTACGATTTCAGTTTTTACCATCCGCCCTGCTGACTCAACGCTGCACTTCAGGGATGACTGGTAAGGTTGATGTTCACTTCCTGGCAACTCGGACTCCGCCAGACGAGGTCTCTAGCGTCGTATGCGCGCTACAGCTGGGGATCAGGTCAACACGGGGAAAACCAGAGAAGCTCTGAGTTAAAAATGAGTGCAAAGATACTGTGTTGAAGCGGGACGGTCTGGGGCTTTCCAGGACTGGGGTCTCAGGTTGCAGAGTTCAGTGTTGAAGGGAAAAAACATCAATGACATGCAACCTGAATCAGGCGTCGCACGACGACTTGAAGCGCCGTAAAAACCCCAGATCCTGATTAAACAATCCCAGATCGTACCCTGTCGGATTCTTGAACTCCTGATGGGATCCGCGCCTGATTAACGCATAGAGCGGGCAAGTGGCCTGACTCAGCCTCTACCCTGAACTCAAGCATGCCCGACTACAAGACACCGTTTTATGCCAGCCAAGATAAAATGATCAGGGCCAGGCTTCGAAGGGGAGTCCGGTGCGTTCTGCGCAACTTTGCGGCTGACCTGCTGCTAGGTGTATGTTTTTGAGTTTCGAGCTGACGCTTGTGCATTTCGGCGTGGCCCTCGCGAGTGTGGTTACTTCGCTTAACTTGCACGGAGCCTGGCTGGAAACTTGGTAGGTTCCGGACTCCAGCGTGTCAGGTTTTCCGAATTTTCAAGTGTTCCAGCAGCCCCAGCCACTGGACCTGCCAACAGTCCCAGACCCAAAGAGCCCAATACCCCTTAAATAAGGAATATACCTTAAACCATGAAGGGCTTCATATTATGATTTAAGCTATATACCTTAATTAAGGGCTCTCTGGGGAGTTTAATACCGCGACCAGGCAGAACATCTCTTTGTAAGAACGAAACATGTGTGGGTATATCGGACTGCGTTGCTGTTGCTTTGCCCAAAGAAGCACATCCCCTACACAGGCCCTGAGAGCGCTGCAGGAAACGTTTTAAAAAATAGTAAGAATACTCCGTAGCTATGGAATATACAATATAATGTAATAGAAGAATATAGAGTTTAGGGTTTAGGGTTTTAGGGTTATAGCCTTAAAATCAATGAAAGGATCGCCGCGTCGCCTCCGCCAGTTCAAACTGGAGAGCGGCACCTTGGTGCCGAATACTGGGCTCTTATCGGGTTTGTCAAGCCTCTTAATTGGGATTTAGGTTTGTAGAGGTTTGTGACGGTTTACATATACTTGAAGATACACTGACTAGTATGCTTTCTTCACTATGATATACTAGATAAAGATCCGCTTTTCGGTGCTGGAAAGAATCCGGAGCCAACCGGAACAAACGCCCTTTGCCGCATACTTCAACTTAACTCCGAAGCACCAATGCCAACAACCTGAGTCTGTGCTTGGAATGCTTCAGGCCCAAGCAGTCCAAGCTGTGCTTTGTAGCCACGAGTCGTGCAGCAACTGCTAAGAACACCCATCAGTCTTCCGTTGGAATACCTACAGTGGAGAACTTCAAACCCTAAGCCTGATGGCTTGCACCGGAGGCTAAGAGTTTCTTAAGACTCCTACTTGGAGGTTCCTGGGTGGTTATATGTATGGTCAAAAGTAGGGCAACTCTACTTATAACCAGATTATAGGGGACTTGTAACCCCTCTTAGAACTTCCTGGGAACCTCCAAGTAAGGGCCGTGCGTGTCTCCTCAGCTGCTCTGGCTTGACGCACTGCCTCGTCTATCCTCTCCTCATTTGCAGCTTAGATAGGGTTTGCGCATCAGATGGGGTGTTACTTGTGGGGGGTGCATAGGGTGTTGAAGCTCATCGGGTCACGATGCACGAAAGTGCATCAAAGCAAAACGGCACCTTTCTTTCTCCAACTGCTATGGCGTTCAACGGCCTGGACATCGAACAGTTTGAGACGATATCCAGCTGATGCTGATGATACAAGCGCCGCGGTTCGCTGTACCCCTCCATGCACAGGGGCTTAAACAGAGATGCAGCTGATGCTCATGATGCTCGCGGCGCGCTTGCTTAAAACGGTCCAATCACTGGCTCGAACGTTCAACGGCTGGGAAGTCGGACAGATAGCTTGAAAAGAAGTCCAGATGATGCTGATGATGCTCGTGCTGCGGTTCGCTAAATCCCTCCAATCAATGGGTGGACTGCTATGGTTGCCGTGGGTTCAACGGCTGGGCAGTCGGACAGATAGCTTGAAAAGAAGTCCAGCTGATGCTGGTGATGCTCGTGCTGCGGTTCGCTAAATCCCTCCAATCAATGGGTGGACT